CTCTGCTCAGTGTGCCTTGAGGCAGGAGCAGTAGGAAGAAGCATCTGTCACCTTAAAACAAACCCAAGGCAGCACCTGGGGACCCCATTTCTCCCCATTCCTGCCTCGGCTTCCACCTGGACTCCTGTCAACCCCACTGGGCACCACCAGGCTAACCTTCCTTACAGGTGTCTCACTTTTCAGACTTTTACTGGCTTTCAAATGCCATTAGATCGTGTGTGTCCCTTTCTCCCACTGTGCAGCTCCTTCTGTCAGAGCAACCACAGGCATTAATGAGGTGATAAGAAATACAGACTACAGATAGGTCAACACGTCTGTCCTCCTGACAGGCACATTTATCTAACAACTGAAAGGAGTGATTTTTTTTTTTAAGATTTTATTTATTTATTTGACAGAGAGAGAGAGAGAGAGACCACAAGTAGGCAGAGAGGTAGGCAGGCAAGGGCAGGGAAGCAGACTCCTTGCTGAGCAGAGAGCCTGATGCAGGGCTCGATCCCAGGACCCTGAAATCATGACCTGAGCTGAAGGCATTGAGCCACCCAGGTGCCCCAAAAGGAGTGATTTTGAGTGGTGGCAATGACACACATGGTGCCTGGTTGGGGGAACTTTCTGGGGTGTCAGTGACGGAGGATGACAAAAGATGTCAACTCCAGCAGTGAGAGTCCCCAGCACAGAGCCTGCAGCCACTCAGGAGGTTGAACATTTAAGTCCCCCCAACCCCTAGTTCCTACAGGACTCTACCACCCTGATCAGCTGTAACATGTGGATGTAATCAAGGAAGCCTATGTCCACGATATGAAATTAGATGCTGTCTCCATCCATGCAAGCTGCTGTAACAAAATACCACATCTGGGTAGCTTAGGAACTGGAGGCTGGAAGTCCAAGTTCATCAGCGTGCCAGCCTGGTCCGGTGAGAGCCCTCTTTCGGGTTGCAGATTTTTCCATTTTTCATTGTGTCCTCACATTATGCAAGGGCTAAGCTAGCCCTCCGTGTCTCTTTTCTGAGCCCTCATGCACAGATTCCCTCCCAGACACCTCACCTCCTGAAACCATTCCCTTGGGCATTGGGTTTTCAACATGTAAACTTGAGGGGAACACAAACATTCAGCCCCTAACAGACGTGAAGAAAAGTAATTCTGCAAAACTACTGAAGGTCTAGCTCCTATACCTCTCTTGCAGAATAGAAGGTAACCAGAACGGGCTCATGGATGGGTTCAGAATGTTCCTGGATGGCTCCCCTCGCCACGCTGAGCATGAACCATTGAAGAACATGACACCCCATTCAACCTTCCAATCTGTGCTCATTTCTGGGTTCTCCCTGCCCCTGATAAATGTGCATCCAGCCTGGGAAGCTGTGCTGAGATCCTGCTTCCTTCCCGTGTCTCCCCAAATTGTAATGGTGCAAACATAGAATGCCATCGGGCCAAGAAGCCGATGCAAAGTCTAATAAACAATAGCAGGGGCTCAAAGAGTCATCCGTGTCTTCAGGACACGAGCATTATACAAAGAGACCAAACACGAGTCCTGGGCTTCTACACGTCCCTCAAGCTGCCTTTTGGATATCCACAGAATTGGCCTCGGGGTGTACCTCTGGAGTGACAAGATGGCCATTCTCTTTTTCAACTGTGCTTGTGGTTTAAGTTTCCATATTGTCTCTAAAGTTACCCTTTGAGTACAGCGAAAGGAGAAAAGGTTCCTGAGGACACGGGTGCATTGTTCCTCGTTTTTATCGCAGGCAGCCGAGCATCAGTGGGCCCAGTTAGAGGCTGGGTGGATTTGGCAGTCTCTTATTGTTCCTGGATGCTCAGACTCCCAGGGGCAGCATTCCCATGTAAGCTCTCACAGTCGGCTTCTGATAAATGAGTCTCGGCGAGCCGTGCAGTGCACACAGCATCTGAAAGAAACAAAGCCCTCCTCTGACCTGGCCTAGGTACAGCTGCAGGAATCATTGTCCAAGAGTCGAGGGGCAACCCCAGAACCGGCGGGCCCCTTCCGGCCACTCTCAACTCCTGGGTCAGCAAAGGCTAGCCCGCCCTCACTGTTGCTCATGCCAATGAGCTCTAGTAATTAAGTAGAGCTCATGGAGCCCAGCACACATAATTGATGTCAATAACAATCCACCCAATGTCACGTTTTCGAAGTCAAGCCCAGAAGCCAACAAGAATTTATTAATGTATCAACCATATTGGAAGACCGCACAGAAGTTACGCTTTGTGGCAAGACTACAGAGAGACAGTCCTCTGACTTTTAAAAATTTCCATTAGAACATTTTTTTTTTTAAGGGCAGCAAATACTGTGAAGCTTTATGGAAAATAATGTGCAATGCACTCTGTGTGTTTTATTATTCATTATGTGGTGAAGTCGATCTTGTTTAAGATGTAGATGAAGACAAGGTGCTCGTTCAGAGGACCTCTGATTTAAAGTGGATAAACCAATTCATACACAAATACATCATGCCTAAGATTTCAATAACTGAAAAATGGCTTAAATATAAAAATCTCTGTACATTTCCATTTCTTCTTTTGGAGGCTGATGGATAAAGAGCCTTCGGTTTCCGGAACTTAGAAAATAACCCGCAGAAGGGGAAGAATTGTAAACATAAGCATACCGTACAAGTATAGGTAAATAGGAAGGCCAAAATAGAGGAATGGGGTTTTCTCAGCTTGCAAACCATCATAGTAAACGCAGTAGAAGAATGATGATATAGCTCTGAGGTGTCGGGTCCCTGTTCTGGATGTCCTGATTCCCCTTGAGATCCACTCCTCATCCCTCCACCTGGGTCTATGCCCTGAATGAGGATCTCTGCAAACTCCGTCCACTGGGTCCTCTGGCCCACTGTCTTCCATTGGCTTCCGCTGATGGGAGGCAGCAGAAGGAGGTACGAGGGAAGTCAGGGTATCTTCCCTCAGCTCCCTCCCTGACAGGCCTTGGTTTCACTGTTGCTGTGTCATTTGGTTGCTCGCTGAGATTTCAATTCCTGTGCATAAGTGGGGACCCTTACTTCCCTTCCGGCCCTCCTGCTATGGCCAGTCTTGGGGTTCTTTGCCACCCAGCGCTGGTTTCCCTGTTCTCACCTTCGTAAGTTGTCTCTCCTTGCAAACTCTCTTTATTACCTCTTTGCAGGTGCCATCTGTTTCTTACCAGGACACAGACAAATAAAGCACCTTTGTAAGAATTAGGAAAAGACACCCAGATGGGTACCTGAGGGTTCATTATACAGTTGCCTGTGCTTTGGTATGCATTGAAATTTTCGAAAATAAAACAAATAGAACAAAAAGAAAAAAAAAAAAGAAAAGAAAACTGTGTCCCTTCGGGTGAATGGTGCCCTGCAGGGACATCACTTTGTGGGCAGAGAATTCCAGCTGGATGTCAGCCCAACTCCCTCCCTCGGTGGGTGACTTTGTGCACTGCACCAAAAAAATCCCAGATGAACATGGCAGCCCTCGAAAAGAATGCATAGGTCCCTAAAAGCTGGAAAATATCTTCAAGACAAAGCCAAGATTGACCTGGGTCTTTAAGGATATTTGGGACTTGAATTTGAAAGTGCAATGCAGGCAAGGAAAGCCCGCAGGACAGGTAATTATAAGCTGTGTACAGGCTTTAGATTCTGCAGGGCAAGATGGGCCCCTTGGAGGGATGGTTGCAGCATAAGAAAGTAGAGACGGGATGGAAATGGGCTCTGATTGCCGAGCTATAAAATGTGAACTGTCATTTGTCATCAATCAGGCGGTACGGTGCACCGTTTGGACACGTGGGCTCTAAAACTAGACCTGTTGGGCTCAGATCGTGGTTTTGCCATCCATTAACTCCACGACTTTGCACTGTTACCCATCCTCTCTCAGCCTCAGTGTTCTCTTTTGCAAAATGGATATACAAGAGCACATAGCTCTTGGATTCACTAAGGTGCTGAATTCTAAAATACACGTGAAGGGCTTATCACAGTGCCTGAGGGTACGTACTCAGGAGACATCAGCTACTATCACCAAGTTTTCCGACAGAAGAGTCATATGATGAAAGCCATAGCTCGTGAAGAGTCGTCAGATCGTGGGTGCAGGATGCACTGGAAAGGAAGAGGCAGGCCCCGAAGTCGGTGTGAGGCCGCTGTGCCCTCTGCACTCCGGGAGAGCCACAGAAATGAGATAGAAGCAGCAGGTGCAGGGACTTCTGGGAGAAGGAGAGAAGGAGGGCTGTGACTGGGCAGGTCATTAGCATGAGGGGTCAGAGGGGGCTCTAGGCACTTTCCCGCCATCTATAGTCTCCAATGGTATAAACGCACACAGGCAGATTGGGCAGTTGGCTTTGAAGGACTGATAGTTCTAAAATTTTAGTACAAGTTAAAAGAATATGAATCTAAATTTGCCAGTCATAAGAATTAAAGATTCATTAGATTTTATCCTTCTGTTTTGCCCAATATCAAATATTGTTACATGCAGTGACAAAACAAAAACCCTAATGGGCAACTCAGACTTTCCAGGGCTCACTGGCTACACCTCGAATTGCCAAAGGTGGTTTTTTATATCCAGAAGTTTCTTCTGATTAAAGTCAGAGGTAAGGCCTCCGCAGCTGAGGGAGAGCATCCTCGTACAAGAGAATTCTCTAAGATCATGTGTAATTTACAAGTTCAATTCTCAGCAAAATTAACCAGAGAGCAGAGGAAGCTAGCAAGCCCTTGACTTCAGTATCTACCATTTGGGCTAGAGGAGGAAAATAGTTAATTTTAAGAAACAATTTCTCTAAGTCCCCATTTGAACATTCATTCGTAGGCAAGCCTCCCTACAAATTCAGGACCATTTTAAGAAGCACCCTGAAACCATCTTTTTAGCCACAGCTCCCTCTGAGAAAAGTTATTCCTTGTTTTCACTTTTTGGTCTTTCTTTGCAGGAATCGAGCTCCATTGTGTGTCCACTGTCCTGGCTCTCCGTCAGAGACAGCACAGCACAGTCTGGTACTGGGCCCCTCCTGCCTCACGCTAATCTGTTCTCTTCCTGTCGGCCTTGCAGATACTTGCCTGAGATCATGAACGATGGGTTGACCAACCAGATTAACAACCCTGAGGTTGACGTGGACATCACACGGCCCGACACGTTCATCAGGCAGCAGATCATGGCTCTACGTGTGATGACCAACAAACTAAAGAACGCGTACAATGGCAATGATGTCAACTTCCAGGACACGAGTAAGGAAGTCTTTACGGGTACCAGTAACCTCCACAGTGAGAAATAGATTGTTAATGATACCCCACTTTTTCTTAAAGAGCAGTGTGCACCTTTAATCTTGCGTCCTGCTTCCCCGGTCTGCAGAGCTGTTAATAGTCTTCGGACAGAGAGCTCTGACCCACAAAGCTTAGGATTCTACTAAAATCATAACTGGTCTTAAGGAATAGTTTCACTGGATTACATTTGGCACTCCCCAGCTAACTTTGGGTCTCCTCTGCCAGGTGATCTATTCATGGTCAAGCCACAAAGCAATGTTCTCATCTTCTCCTTCGCCCATCATCATTTATATTTCTGCCCCAAACTCTTGTCCTCTCCCCAACCACGAAAAGAAGAATGTTCTAAAGCTTCCTCAGACAAGGCGGGGCAGGACTCTTGGTTTTATCACTAACTGACTGGGGTCCTAAGCAAATTATTTCTTGAGTCTTAGATTTCTCTTCCATAGAATGAGAAGCATTCTAGCCTGTGAGGCCGGGTCTTCAGGAAGTTCATTTGGGGCCATCTGTGAAGGACCCAAGATAAAATCTCATGTGCTCTGGATTCAACTGCGTGAGCTCTCCCTCTATCCAGTCCCTCACGTGCATGAGCCATGGACCTTCGTATCGGATATATCGACAGAAATAACGAAATGCCAGTGCAGTAGGACCCATGACTAGTTTATTAGCCCTCACAAAATGTCAGAAGTGATTGGAAAGACTATTAAGTGAGTGTTAAATGAAATTTGGGGGTTGTGTAAGTGGTTTTAGGATGAATAACTATACAAATTGGGGAGACTTTGCTTTATGGCTTTGGGATTTTTTTTTTTTTTTAAGATATGTATCCCTACACAGAGTTCTTGGGAAAAGATTTCTTGAACTTAAGTTGTACAGTCACCAGCAAGCCTGTAATTTGGTCACTGAAGCAAAAGATGATGCTTGTGTGCTTGAATTAATGAGATAGAAAGAAACAAATTCCAGATGGAAGACATTAAGTCATCCAAGTCTTAGCCATCAGCCTACCAAGTTGTTCCCTGCAGAAAATTTTTAGTGCTTCATTCCATTTTAAATAACTCAAAAATTAATTTTCTAAATGCAGGATAATTGCCAACCCAGTAGACTTTATTGCTGTCACATTTCTCCTATTATTTCTCCTCTTCACGAAACCTCATCTTCCCTCTTCAGAAGAGAACCTTCCACGAGGGCCTTTGCTGCTTCTCCCCTGCTCACTCCTTAGTTTTGCTCTTCTGAGAGCAGCATCGTCCTCTCTGTCTCATGAAATGCTTTATTATCTGGAGAGTGACTATAGGAATAAATAATTCAAGATAATGTAAGAATTAGTTGAGGTTGGCCTTGGTTCTCTCTTCTCTCTGACCTAAAGAGGTTATATACATGTCAGTCTGCAAAGCTTAGGGAATGGCCTTGAGGAGAGATTGTGCTCCACTTCCCCCCACAAGAAAATAAAAATTAACAACACTTAAGAGCCTCACTTAGCTCTAACCCAAGCCCCGTATTTGGTCCCCTATTTTAGGACAGTGTCTATCCTATAAACCATTATCACATCTTACAGCCATCATCACCCTTCCTGCTTTTGGCATTTTAAAAAATCACCCCTGAAACTCCAGCCTTTCTGACTCCTTTTCAGAAAGAGACAGAGCCATTATTTTCCTCAGCTGGAATCTCCTGTCATTATTTGCTTACCACAGTTTTAATATTCCAAATCACTTTAATAATATCTTTGTAAAGGTTATATTACTTCTTGTTCATACTACCAGTGTTAAGAACAATTCCCTCAGCAGTTCTGGAATCTCTGAATTTAATTAATGGGCATTTTCCCCCTTGTAAAGGCCACTAACGATAAATCCGAGAAAATGTTAAGAACCTGCTATAGTGTATTCAAGTGATCTTACCTGATATTTAGATGTCCTGTTTAAAAGAAGAAGAAGAAAGAAGAAGAAGAAGAAGAAGAAGAAGAAGAAGAAGAAGAAGAAGAAGAAGAAGAAGAAGAAAAAGAAGAAGAAGAAAAAGAAGAAGGAAGAAAAGAAAGAAGAAAGAAGAAAGAAGAAAGAAGAAGGAGGAGGAGGAGGAGGAGGAGGAGGAGGAGGAGGAGGAGAA